GCCTATTACTAGTGTCCCCCGCCGTGATAGTGCTGGAATATTGTTAAAAGCGCGGCGTAAAACCATACTCACTCACTCTGCAGTTACAAAATTCAAAGCGAACATTGTCATTCTAAGGTCTCAAGGTTTTAGTCAAGAATGTCTGTCCAAACTTGTGAAACAAATCATACGAAACTGATCTCAGATCATTTCCAGTGCGAAACAACGTTACTCCGGAAACCCGAGCTTTCGGGTGAGCATTGCAGGGAACATCCCGGATTAAGCAGGTTTAACTATTCGGAGAAGGAGTATTTTGTTAGCAGACACTCTTATTAACCTATAACATATTTTGCATCTTGAGTGCTTATTGAGTCTCATACGGTACTAAACCCTCAAGAATATGAGCCCCGCATCCCTCATTAACACACTGAAGTTCACAGAGATACAGATGGCTTATCTTTTACATCTTCATAACTACAAGTTCATTTAGAAAGAGACTCCCAAGATGATAATTTGTAAAAAACATAACTGTTGGTTTTGAAGTTCTTGACTCATGTTCTCACCATGACTGTCGGTCGACTGTTTTATATTAGCACTATGTTCAATCACATGATGCTTTACGTTTTCAAAGGCAGACTAATTTTCACTAATAGTTATTTTGTTTTTAAACGCAGGCTGATTTGGAGTAATAGTTATTTAACTCAAATATTGGGCATATTGATTAATTCATTTACATATACGAACATTCGTCTGTTAACGTTCTTAAGTCGTACATAGCAGAACATTAAAACCTTTTAACCCTGTCCCAACACCGAGCCAAATAACCAGGTCGTATTATCAAGATTATATCATCGCAACGCTAAGCTTAAAATAATAAAAAGTCATAATGAAAATAGCAATTATAACTGATAAGCTTTTGCTGTAATAACAAGTGCAAACATGCTTTGGCCAGTGATGCTTTGGCCACTTTAGTTTCAACCTTTTCCGAAAACGCATGGGCTGATAAACTGATTGTTATTGTGACAGATTTGAATATATAACGGTTGTTGCATCCGTGTTGAGAGATGAAGACACGGACAAAACGGAGGATATAAACGACGACACGAACAAGTAGCAGTGTTAGACATTTCGTGTTAATTTTAATGAAACCGGAAATTCGTTAAAAACAAGACTATGCGGGTTGATAAATAATGAGGCGGGGAAATAGGATGAATATAAAACAACATATTGAGCGGGAGGGAATTTAGGCGCGGTGGGGGGTAGACAACACTAAATATACACAGGCGACCTTATGAAAATGTAAATGGATGCCCAAGACATGATGGCATCCTCTTTGACACCAAAAAAAAAACAGTCCCACGCATATCAAGGTTGCCATCTTCTTTGGACAACTATCCTGCAGGTGTCTTGAATTATTCCTAGAAATGCACCCGTCTTGGAGTTGGTCCAGATTCATTATCGTGACAAAGCTACAAGTGTTTACTGTTCTTGGGCCTCTATCTCACCACCACCACCATCATCATCATCATCATCATCATCATCATCATCACCATCATCATCATCATCATCATCATCATCATCATCATCACCATCATATTATTATTATTAATTCTCAATAATTGTACACAGATGTTTCTCTGTGTATGATTGTTTTCCTTGAGAAGTATCTTTTCTTTCTAAACCCTAAATATAATGAAAAACTTCATTCGTCAGTTCGAAAATGTTTGATTAATATGTATCAGAACAACTACGACATAGTTGATTTTTTCAACATTCTGCTAACCAGGAAGTTCAGTTAACATGGAAGCATGTGACGTCATCCGCTGTATCATAACGTCACCACATTTCAAAATGTGAAAACACAGTAACACCAGCAAGATGAAAATAGTCAAAAATGCTGTTGAGTTTATCTCGTCATGTGGTCACAATTGATAGTTTCACTCATGACTATGTTAACCACACACACGTTAAAATAAAAAGGTATGTTTTTTTATGGAATTGAAAATTGAAAGAACAGTTATAAAATGTGATTATGTATATTCAACCATCACTCATTCCTGCAACAATCTGTAGAAAGTGATTTGAAGCTGGGCAATTTTGTGTAAAAATAAATCGGTTCAATGAAGACTGGGGTAAAAAATGAATTTGCAGCCACATAACCCTAATTTAATGATTTTAAAGATAAGATGTGGAAGATACCCATCAGCGGTTGTGTATTGTGCATTTCGAAAACGGAATCTTCAATTTTAAATCAAATTAAATTTAAAAAATAAAAACATGTTGAAGTATTCTTTGAGTGCTGGCAAAGCGCCAGTACAGTTTCCTTTGCTCAACCTCCATATATTCAAGACATAACCGTATTAAATCTAGATGTTTAGTGATACGAGAAATTAAAATCAACGAAGCTAAAAATCCTCTTTCAACTATACAATTGAATTTCAAGAACAAACTGAAATTAGTCCTAAAACATAAAATGTCTGCTTAAAATAAAAATCACTCGGGTTTTACGGGTAGTTTATAATGGGATCTAGAAGTCAATTCATTTATTCAAACAATATTATTGTGACCATGTGAATGAATTGGGTTTCATTCCGCTTTGTAATTTAAGGAATTTCAGTGTTATCACGGGCGTTTCAACTGGTCTAAGACAACGAGCAAGGGTATGGTGCTGACAAACCTAACAATACGATGTGGACGAATTTTGGATGCTGGTTCATCTAATGGACGCAATATTGCACATCGAATTGTGGCCCCCATCCCACCCCCACCCCCCCCCCCCCCCCCCTTCGCCCGTACCCCTACCTCCTACATACGATGGAACTAGAAAAAAGTCTATTAAATCAGGCCAGAAAGAATATTTTATCCTCTTTAGATCCATAAACATCCTACAGCTCCCAAAATATTCAAAGAAGGAAGAAGTCGGTTTATAGTTTGTCTGTTTATAGAATGGTTTTATACAGCCATTGGGAAAAGTAGTATTTCACTGAATCGCATCCAGCGGTACATAACAGCCCTTGAGATGTTCTTCATATGATACAACTCGGAGCCAACGCGAAAACAAACACTTTGTTCCTCTACATCTATGGAAGGGCCAATTGAGCTGGGATCTTGAACCGCCTAGGTGGCAGCGACAGACACAAGTATGGCCTATCTTCCTTAACTCTTGTGTTCTTGAAGTCAAGGAATGCCAACGCCCAGCTTCCGCAACACAGTTCCACCTGCAGTTCTATTGATGCCAAGGTCTCATGTGATGACCTTTTGACGAAGTCGCCGTCTGGTTTGTGGGCCTTTCGCATCAACGCCCGGAGTTATCTCCCTTTATTCCCTCATTGATAACTAGGAAAGGTATGCCTATAGTGTTTTATAAATAACCTTTCTTGTGATTTGTTGGAAAGAATGTGAAATACAAACTTCGCTTAAATATCATCGAAACGTATGTTTTTAATATTTAAAAAACGTGTATTAGTAGGGCATAATAATTACTCGCGTGGAAATCAGGAAAAAATAAACATTTTTGCAGTGGAAACAATATTCTATCGTTTCTCTGAAAAATTAATGAACCAAGAAGTGTGTCTATATTATTCAAATTAACCTAATATTTGCAACGAAGGTCGTTAAACATCGATAAAAACATGTTTAAAATAAGTGTCACAATAGCAGACGACTTCCGGTGGGAAGCAATGACAAGAAGTGAAGCCATCTTTATTACAGCGAACAATGACTCACAACGTGTGCACTTCCATGCCGTGTATCGTCCGTTTCACATTCATGCAATAGAGACGTCAGGTCTACAAGATCCCGATAAACGCGCAATTCCTCAAACATTGAGGATGAAACCACTTGAGCGAGTATGGTTGTAAGCCGTTCTATGCAATATTCCCGCAATATTCACGGCGCGGGGATGCCAGAAATTAGCCTCACACACTTTACCCATCTAGGGAATCGAACCCGGGCCTTCGGCATGACAAGTGAACACTTTAAACACTAGGCTACCCCACCGCACCGACGTAACAAAAATCTATGTACGCGAATTACAAACACGCCGACTCAACATTTAGTGTGGATATTGTCGGGAATGTTTATTACAAAGTTAAATGTTGCAGGCAAAGACCTTGGTTAGTGTCTCTGTACATAAACAGCTGATTGACTAGATGCCAAGAGAAGAGAAAATACGTTCTAATGAATGCAATGGAACCTCGAACAAGGACGGTTCTAAGATGGCATCAGGTGCTTCACTCTCCTTTGTCATCTGAACCTACCACAAGTGTGCCGGTATTAATAGTGTTGTTTATGAACGAATTATGAGATGTAAACGTGATTTGAAAATGACTAATCGCCAGGAAATATTATATACACAGGAATTGTGGCAATTTAGTTGCCAATTTGGCCCTAGAACCACCACTCGTTTTACAGCGATGAAAAAACGTATGTATCGTGAAATGATTGTATATACAAAATTATCCAGTCAAGAATGGAAACGTTTCTTTGGAATGTGCGCGCGAGTTTGGCAAGGGTGCCAGTTTAAGTGCCACGAAAGTGCAACAACGGCTGCAGTCTCACCGTTGTGGTTCTGCTGTCTCCTTTCTTCGTAATAAAAGTGTCGGATTTTTACAAATGTACATCTGAGTATTCTCTAAACTTTAGTGATTAGATTCATTATTTTGTTTATACTTGAGAAATAGTTTATAGCCACGCAGGAATTCGTCACTCTTCAGAGTTCGTTTTTCTTAAACTGTTACGTCATAGTTCATGTGTTTAACGGTAGACACGATGCGTGTTTCCAACAATTATTGTTCATGCTTTGCTGTCAGATGAATTGGTGGAAGCACAGTGGAAAGGGTGTTGCTTGTTTTGGTGTCAAGCATATTATTGATTTTCAAAGAAAAAATGTCTTAGTTTTTGTGTCCGTAGAAGTATTTTTTGATTCTTTTACATTCTATCGTGTCTCAAAAAATGATAAACCGGAAAGTGTGTCTACATTATTCAAATTATACTAACATTTGCGACAAAGGGTGTTAAACATGGATATGAACATGTCCAAAAGAAGTGTCACAATAGCAGACGACTTCCGGTGGGAAGCAATGACAGGAAGTGAAGCCATCTTTATCACGGCGAAAAATGACAGAGAGGTCAGCTCGCTGTGACTCACAACGTGTGTTTTTCCATCCCCTTCATCATTTTCAAATCCATGCAATAAAATCACGTCGACTCAACATTTAGCTCGAATGTGATCGAGAATGTTTATTACAATGTTAGATGTTGCGGACAAAACCTTGGTTAGTGCCTCTATATATAAACATCTGATTGACTAGATGCCAAGATAAGAAAAAACATCATTCTAATGAACGCAGTGGAACCTCGAACAAGAAAGGTTCAAAGTTGATTTCAAGTGCTTCACACTCCTTTGTCATCTGAACCTATCACAAGTGGGCCGGTATTAAAAGTGTTGTTTATAAACGAATTTTGAGATGTAAAGATGATTTAAAAATGAATAATCGCCAGGAAATATCATGTAAACAGGAATTGTGGCAATGCAGTTGCCAATTTGGCCCTTGAACCACTACTCATTTTACAGCGATGAAAAAACATGAAAAAACATATGTATCGTGAAATGATTGTTAAAACAAAATTATCCACTCAAGAATGGAAACGTTTTTTTAGAGTGTGCGCGCGAGTTTGGCAAGGGTGCCAGGTTAAGTGCAACGCCAGGATCAACTTTGCAACGACTGCAGTCTCACCGTTGTGGTTCTGATGTCTCCTTTCTTCCACTGACGTAACAAAAGTGTCGGATTTTTTAAAATGTACATCTGGGTATGTTCTGTAAACATTGTGAGTAGATTAATTGTTTTGTTTAAACTTGAGAAATAGTTTATAGCCACAAGTGAATTCGTGACTTTTTAACGTTCGTTTTTCTTCCATAGTTACGTCACGTGTTCAACAGTAGACACGATGCATGTTTCCAACAATTATTGTTCATACTTTGTTGACAGATGAGTTTGTGGAAGCACAGTGGATAAAGTCCTTGTTGTCTTGGTGGCAAGCATATTATTGATTTTCAAAGATCAGATATCTAAGATGTTGTGACAGTAGAAGTATTCTTTGATTATTGACTAGGCGCCAGTACAGTTCATGTTTTGGATATAATATCACTAACTTAAAATATTTTCACTTGAAAATAAAACTGATGATAAAATCAAAAGAGAGATTGTTTCCTTTGCTCCTCAGTTGATATCCTCCTTTCATAAGACAAAACCATATTAAATCTAGATATTTAGTGAGACGAGAAATTAAAATCAATATACTAAACATCATATTTCAACTATACAATTGAATTTCAAGAACAAACTCTGATATTAAATTTCTTTAAAAATAAAATTTCTGCTCAAAATAAATATCCCTAGAGAGATCGATAGTATATCATTGGGTTCTATAAGAAACATTCAATTCATGTATTTAGATAATATCAATACCCATGTTCACTATTTTGACAAAGTAAGAGGCGTATATGATAGAGATCGTGAGTGAGTGAGAGAATTTGGTTTCACGCCGCTTTGTGATTTGAGGTATTTCAGTAATATCACAGAGTGTCAGCTTGGTAAGGGAGGAAAGTCTGAAGTGATGCTGGTCTTAGACAACGAGCACGGGATGGGGCTGACAAACCTAAAACATAATTTGGACGAATTTTGGATTCTGGTACAGCTAAGGGACGCAACTCTGCACTGCCTTTGTGTCTTCTAAGACGACTGGGTCACCTGTGCCTCCAACATACGATAAAACCAGAAAAGAGAATATTTAAGCAGGTCAGAAAGAATATTTTATCCTCTTGAGATCCATAAACATCCTACACGGTCTCAAAATACCGGATTCAAAGAGGGAAAAGGTTGTTTTATAGTTTGTCTGTTTATAGAATGGTTGTGGAAATAAACGAAGCATTCTAGACATCCATTGGAGAAAGTAGTATTTCACTGAATCGCATACAGCGGTACATAACAGCCCTTGAGGTGTTCTTCATATGATACAACTCGGGCAAATCCGAAAACAAACACTTTGTCATCAACATTTATGGAAGGGCAACAGAGCTACCATCTTGATTCGCCTAGGTGGCAGCGACAGACACAAGTGTAGCCTATTTTCCTTAACTCTTGTGTTCTTGAAGTCTTGGAATACCAACGCCCAGCTTCCACAACACAGTTCCACCTGCAGTTCCATTGATGCCAAGGTCTCATGTGATGACCTTTTGACGAGGTCGCCGTGTGGTTTGTGGGCCTTACGCATCAACATCCCTTTATTCCATCATTGATAACTAGGAAAGGCATGTCTTTAGTGTTTTATAATTAACCTTTCTTATGATTTATTGAAAGAAGGTGAAATACAAACTTCGCTTAAATATCATCGAAACGTATGTTTTTAGTAAAAAAGAACAACTTGTATTCGTAGGGCATAATAATTACTTGCGTGGAAATCAGGAAAATATAAACATTTTTGCAGTGGAAACAATATTCTATTGTTTCTCTGAAAAATTAATAAACCAGGAAGTGTGTCTATATTATTCAAATTAACCTAACATTTGCAACAAAGGGCGTTAAACATCGATACAAACATGTTCAAACAGAAGTGTCACAATAGCAGACGACTTCCGGCGGGAAGCAAAGGCAGGAAGTGATGCCATCCTTTTCACAGCGACCAATGGCAGAGAAGTCAGTTCGCTGTGACTCACAACGTGTGCTCTTCCATGCCCTGCTTTTATCCGTTTCACATTCATGCAATACAGACGTTGGGTCTACAAGATCCCGAAAAACGCGTAATTCCTCAGACATTGAGGGTACCATTGCCAAATAACGTAAGGGCGTTTTAGGTGAAACCACTTCTGACGTAATGAAGAGTGGTTGAGCGAGTATGGTTGTATGCCGTTCTTAGCAATATTCCAGCGTGAAAATACCAGAAATTAGCCTCACACACTTTACCCATTTAGGAGATCGAACTCGGCCTTAGGCATGACAAGTGAACACTATAACCACTAGGCTACCCCACCGCACCGACGTAACAAAAATCTATTTACGCGAATTACAAACACACAGACTCAACATTTTGTGTGGATATGTTCGAGGATGTTTATTACAAAGTTAAATGTTGCAGGCAAAGACCTTGGTTAGTGTCTCTGTACATAAACAGCTGATTGACTAGATGCCAAGAGAAGAGAAAACACATTCTAATGAATGCAATGGAACCTCTAACAAGGACGGTTCTAAGATGGCATCAAGTGCTTCACGCTCCTTTGTCATCTGAAGCTATCACAAGTGTGCCGGTATTAAAAGTGTTGTTTATAAACGAATTTTGAGATGTAAAAATGAATAATCGCCAGGAAATATCATATAAACAGGAATTGTGGCAATGCAGTTGCCAATTTGGCCCTTGAACCACTACTCATTTTACAGCGATGAAAAAACGCATGTATCGTGAAATATTGTTAAAACAAAATTATCCATTCAAGAATGGAAACGTTTTTTAGAGTGTGCGAGAGTTTGGCAAGGGTGCCAGTTTAAGTGCAACGCCAGGGTCGCCTTTGCAACGACGGCAGTCTCACCGTTGTGGTTCTGCTGTCTCCTTTCTTCCACTGACGTAACAAAGGTGTCTGATTTTTAGAAATGTACATCTGAGTATGTTCTGTAAACACTTGAGCAATAGTTTATAACCAAACAGGAGTTCCTCACTTTTTGAAGTTCGTTTTTTCTTCCTTTGTTATGTCGGGTTTCAAGTGATCAACGGGACATGCTGGCTTAAAAGTGTTGTTCATACTTTGTTGTTAGATGAGTTGGTGGGAGCACAGTGGATAAGGTGTTTGCTTGTCTTGGTGTCTGCGACGTGATAGTGCTTCAATACATTTGTTATCATTAAGAACTAATTTGGCATTGTGAAAGGTCTGAGTGAGTGAGCGAATGAGTGAGTTCAGTTAAGTGAGTAGGTGGCTGGGTGGGTAGTTGCGTGAGTGAGTGAGTGAGTGAGTATGGTTTTACGCCGCTTTTCGCAATATCCCAGCAATATCACGGCGGGGGACACCACAAATGGGCTTCACACATTGTACCCATGTCGGGATTTGAACCCGGATTTTCGGCGTGACGAGCGAACGCTTAAACCACTAGGCCACCCGACCGCCCCGAGTGAGTGAGTGAGTTTAGTTGAGGTGAGTAGGTGGCTGGGTGGGTATTTGCATGAGTGAGTGTATGAGTGAGTGAGTGGATGGGTGGATAGGTGGGTTGATGGGTTGGTGGGTGGGTAGTTGTGTTAGTGGGTGTATGAGTGAGTGTATGAGTGAGTGAGTGTATGAGTGAGTGAGTGAGTGAGTGAGTGGGTTGGTTGATAGGTGGGTTGATGGGTTGGTGGGTGGGTAGTTGTGTTAGTGAGTGTATGAGTGAGTGTATGAGTGAGTGAGTGTATGAGTGAGTGAGTGAGTGAGTGGGTTGGTTGATAGGTGGGTTGTTGGGTTGGTGGGTGGGTAGTTGTGTTAGTGAGTGTATGAGTGAGTGTATGAGTGAGTGAGTGAGTGTATGAGTGAGTGAGTGAGTGAGTGGGTTGGTTGATAGGTGGGTTGATGGGTTGGTGGGTGGGTAGTTGTGTTAGTGAGTGAATGAATGAGTGAATGGGTGAGTGAAAGGGTGGATGAGTGGGTGAGTAAATGAGGGAGAGCGTGTTTAACGTCGCTTCAGTATTTCAGGCACTGTGAGTCATTGGTGAAAAAGAAAGGCGAAAGAGTGTGACGCAAACACAAGATTCATTGCAGGTTTTAGTTTGGGATTCACAGCGGCTTGGACCAGTAGACCACGGTTTGGGCAAATATATACCGCCTCATACTTCAAACAGTGGCGTCAACATCGATTAATTTGATGGAATCACATACACCAATACATACGATAAGAAGCAAGGAGAAGAAGAAGAGGGAGGAGAAGAAGAAGGTGAAGAAGATGGAGGAGGTGAAGGAGAAGTGGAAGAAGGAGGAGAGACGGAGAAGAAGGAGAAGGAGAGGAGGAGAAGTGGGAGAAGGAGAAGAAGGAAAAGAAAGGAAAAGAAGGAGAAGAATGAGGAAGCGAAGGAGGAAGAAGGAGGAAGGGAGGAGAAGGAGAAGGAGAAGAAGGCAGTTAAGAAGAAGAAGAAGGAGGAGGTGGTAGAGAAGGAGGTGGTGGAGAAGAAGCAGTGGAGGAAAAAGGAGGGGAGAAGGAGAAGGAAGGGGAGAAGAAGAAAGAAGCAGGAGAAGAAGAAGGAGGAGGGGAAGGAAGAGGAGGCGGAGGAGAAGAAGAAGAAGAAGAAGAAGAAGGCCCGGGCTGCCAAAATGCACTTTAAACACACAAATGTATCATCAAATGTCTTTAAATCTATAGACTAGCATTATATCTACCTATATACAGGTTTATAGTGTCTCAGTTCGCTGTATTTAAAGAAAACAAGGTGCTCAAAGTGAAGCTCTTTTCCCTCTACATTCTCAACATAGTCTCTATAAAAAGTGTTTGGCTTGTGTTCGGTCCGACTTGGCCCGGGCTGTCAAAATCAATTTTAAACACAAAAATGTTTCATCAAATGTGTTTACATCTATAGATTAGCATTATACCTTCCTATATACCACTTTATAGTGTCTCAAGTCGCTGTATTGAAAGAAAACATGGTTCTCAAAGTGAAGCCATTTTCCCTCTACATTCTCAACATAGTCTCTATCAAAAGTGTTTGGCTTGTGTTGGGTCCGACTTGGTCCGGGCGGTCAAAATCAACTTTAAACAAATAGATGTATCATCAAATGTGTTTACATCTATAGATTAGTATTTTATCTACCTATATACCACTTTATAATGTCACAGTACATCGTATTTAAAGAAAACTGGTCCGTTAAAGTCAAACACTTTTCCTGTATTTTCTTAAGAAAATCTCTGTCAGAAGTGTTGGGTCCGACTTGGCCCGGGCTGTCAAAATCAACTTAAACCTCACAGATGTATATTCAAATGTATTCACATCTATAAACGAGTTTAATATCTACCTATATACCACTTTATAGTGTCTCAGTACATCGTATATAAAGAAAACTGGTCCGTTAAAGTCAAACACTTTTCCTGTATTTTCTTAAGAAAATCTCTGTCAGAAGTGTTGGGTCCGACTTGGCCCGGGCTGTCAAAATCAACTTAAACCTCACAGATGTATATTCAAATGTATTCACATCTATAAACGAGTTTAATATCTACCTATATACCACTTTAAAGAGTCTCCGTTCGCTGTATTTAAAGAAAACTTGGTGCTCAAAGTGAAGCCCTTTTCCCAAGCAAAGACAGTATGAGGACCGTACTAACGAAATGTCAAGCTAGCTTCCCAAGTTGTTATACTAGCCATTCATGACAAGAAAAATCCCGTTTCCTGACGCTTAAAATAGTGTTTATATTAATTACAATGCACAAATTTCCAAATATTCGAAATATTCCAGTGTCCATACCGTCCACTATCCTTGAAGGATAATGATGACGTAGACGACGACAACGACAACAACGATGTGCTGCATTGACTTTCAGAAAGCATATGATTCTGTCTGTTTGGGAATGTTTGGACATGTTGTAGAAATTTTCGTCAGTGTTCACATCGTCCACTATCCTGGAAGGTGTATCTTGCCACATATGTTTGCGGGTAGAGACACAAAACCAAATAAAGACGTGACACATGTGTATGCATACAATTTGGAATAATATGGACAGTTTACAATCCTAGACACATTGCACATTAAGCCATGTTAGATCATGTTTACACTGCTGTTTTATGTATGAGAACACAAGAAAGTACGAATTTGTCAGTCATTCAAATCTCGGGTTCAGCAAATGTTTTCGTATCTATTTTTAGTAAAAATCGTTAGGAGTTTTGCGATCAGGGTGTTAGTTGTCAATTTTAGGTGCTTAAAATGCACTTTAATGAATCCTTGGAGTCTGTGACCTTGGGAAACGTTGTAATGTTATTAATACAAAAATCAGTAAAAGATAAAGCATATATTTTGTGACCGGAACTAGCATGTTCGAGGTAAAGCTTACGTTTTGTGTACCATCAAAAGCATGCCAGTGATGACATTTCTTCAAAACATGACAAAATCCCGATCATCCACAACATGAGAGAGATATTGACCACGAATGTGTGTACCGAACTTTCGAACCTATACTCCGATCACGACCGCCTCACCATAAAAATACATATAGATTTGGACCTGTGAAGATCAGGGTTAGAACAGATCTTCAGCAACCAATGCTTGTATTAAAAGGTGACTATGGTACTCGTTAGAGGCGACTAACGGGATCGGGTTGGTTGTCAGGCTCGCTGACTTGGTTGATTGGATGCATGTCATCTTATCCCAATTGTGTGGATTGATGCTCGTGATGTCAATCACTGGATTGTCAGGTCCAGACTTGATTATTTGCATGACCTCCGTCATATAGATGGCATATTGCTGAGTGTGGCGTTAAACAAAAAAACAAACAAACAAAACATATAAATTTAACCGCTTATTTCAAATTCGAGATAAAAATACATAGCGCCATCTGGAACTCCCTATCTGACTTTACAACAGAACTGTGTACCATGATATCGAAGTTTGAATTTGCCACCGTGACAGCTTTAAGAAATCTTAATTAGAATTTTACTTAACTGTAAACAATTCTCCTCGATACAGGTTGAGGAATCCGTAATGAAGTCAGAGAAAGTGATCACTTGCAACATTGTCAAACTTAGTTTCATCCACAGAAACCACGGACCTTTTTCGCAAAACTAAAATTCAACTCAATCCTTCACTTGTGTTTCTGTCACAATGTTTATTGATTATTACCTGCGAAATACATTTCAATTAGTCATCGAGATACATTTCAATTAGCCACACCTTACACCTGTTGTATTCTTAATTGATCGTCTATGCAATCGTATTTCTATGGATCTATAATACACAGTCTGTTACTCAGTTTTATTTCGCTTATTGACTTTCTACATAGGTGAACAGGGACATTTATTTTACATGCAAACAACATGTTATTCAGGAAAATATAATTACATGATAGGGGTTTGTGAACACACAAATAATTTTTTATTCAAATACCTCTTCCTTTAAAAAAACATATATATTAACACACACAAATGGTTTTTACAAACAATAGTTGATTTTATGCTTCCAAACAAACCACACGCAAGCTATTGTTGAATTTTAAAATAAAGCCAAGGTAAATGTATCCACAATCATATTTAATCACAAATATCCTTCTGTTCTATATAAATGTAACAAGTGAACTAACCATTACAGTGGATCTCAACATGGACAAAACTATTGGAGATGTTCAATGAGTGAATGTTTATTTAATGAAGTAAAAACGTAGATTCTTTCTTTTGGTAAATACATGTAGCTGTACATCTTATAGATGTTCCAAGAGAAAATGATATAATATCTGCCTATATACCACTTTATAGTGTCTCAGATCGCGGTATGTAAAGAAAACTTAATGCTCAAAGTGAAGCCCCTTTCCCTCTACATTGATGATACATCTGTGTGTTTAAAGTTGATTTTGACAGCCCGGGCCAAGTCGGGCCGAACACAAGCCAAACACGTTTGATAGAGACTATGTTGAGAATGTAGAGGGAAAAGGGCTTCACTCTGAGCACCTTGTTTTCTTTAAAAACCGCGATCTGAGACACTATAAAGAGATATTTAGGTAGATATAATACTAATCTATAGGTGTGAATCCATTTCATGTTACATCTGTGAGGTTTAAGTTGATTTTGACAGCCCGGGCCAAGTCGGACCGAACACTTGTGAGACTGTTGAGAGTTTTGGGAAAAGAGGTCTACTTTAACCAACGTGTCTGCTTTATACACGATGAACAGTGACATTATTAAGTGGTATTTACATAGATATAGTACTACCCTATAAATATAAACGCTATGCCGACAGATGGAAATTTGTATCGCGATAGCTAGAAGTATTTGATACGTTTCAAATCTTATTTCGTTTAACGATTGCTCTTTTACATGTTACCTAGATCAGCGACGCTTACACACAGCTCCACTTTCGGGATTTCAAACGATTTACTCCGAAATACCTAATTATGTTTCACGTTTTTGGTTGGTGATTGTTCATTAATGTCATGTGTGTATGTTGCATCAATAATATGTAGGTATGATCGCCGATAATGAAGTAATTAGCCAATAACACTTTGGCCCGTCTTGGCCCGGCCCGGCCCGACTTTTAGGCAATGCCCATTTCCAGTTACAGTCCGTTTGCGTTACCACAGTCGTCATCGAGATAGAGTAAAGATATTGGTCATGTGATGGACTTCAGCAAGCGGCAGTGCAAGTTGTGGTTGTGACCAACAAGCAATTCCGACGACATCAGGGTTGTGACATCAGCGAATCAGATTGCATTAAAATTATCATGAGACGATCCCTCTTATGCCGTCATTCCCTGTACAATTGTGTAGCACGTGCAGTACGTGTTGCGCTGTTCCTCCTACCGGTGTGCCTCCCTCCGTTCAAGATGTCAACTTGTACACATAACAACATGATAGTTTCTTAAGCAACTTTTTTTCCAGTGATGGGAATAAAAATATCAAACAACAAACATTGTTGGGTACAGGGTATTCACTGCCGTGTACTGTATTGATGTTTAATAGATTATATTCCCAATTTTGAGTTATCTTCCAATTCATCGTTCTCATTTGGAGCTAAAACGGACAGTGCCTGGGGTTTCAGGGGCGGTGTGGTAGCCTAGTGGTTAAATCGTTTGCTCGTCACGCCACAGACCCGGGTTCAATTCCCTACATGGGTGCAATGTGTGAAGCCCATTTCTGGTGTCCCCTGTGATATTGCTGGAATATTGCTAAAAGCGGCGTAAAACTATACTCACACATACGAATTTAGCATACGTCAAGCAATAAGCTAACATCATTTATCGTCTTTTGTGAGTTACATTAGCTCAGCGGTCAAATCCTATCCTTTCAGCGTCAAAAGTACGAGTTCGAATCCCTACGTGAAACTGCTTTTAACCAAAGACGGCTTCTTCCCTCAGTGGCCAACTAATCCCTATCTAAATCACATAATACTTCGAACAAATGTAGCTTTTCTCACAGCTTGCAACGTATTAGTGGTCACTGAAAAGCGATTTGTTACCTGTAACCATCTTGACAAACGACTGTCGACTTTGCTAACGGTAAATCTCTAACCCCCGGCATACGTGAAATGAACAACGTTCCCAGGCCACAGCGTCCCCCCTTACCCCCTCCCGGGGCTCGGTACGACCTTTCCGGGGCTTGAGGAGGGGTGAGACAACATTGGAGTTAACATTCCACAAGATTCAACACAAATCCCCGTGACTGCTCAAACACCTAGCGCTGTTGACTTCGGATGTGGGGTCTGAGGCGACTCACCCTAAAAAATGTCAATCAAAGATTTGTCACTTGGTGACTAATGCTTCTTAAAGGTAACAGAAACAATTACTTGAGATGTTTATGTGGAGTCATTTTGGTTTTGCTTCTGTGGTAAGATGCTGTTGTTTCTAACAAATGTTTTATTGGACAGAGATCATGTGGACTTTTCTTGTCAAATATCATGTTAATCGTATCGGGAGACCTGACAAAAAATGATATTTTCATCAGCGACGCAGGCACGAAATTATCATGTCAACATTCTCAGGTCGAGAGATAAGATAAACATGTTGTTTTCATTAGACGAGTCAAAAGGTCTATTTCTCCTTTTTCTCACTTAAATCTCTTAACCTGAAAACCATAGTGTCAATCCGGGAGAATAAAAATAGTTCCGTCACAAGGTGTTATTTCTCTCTAGTGGAACATCGATTTTGTGTTGTCAGACAAACATAATATTTCATCCCTAATACATAACAAATAATGTCTTGCCGAGCCTTTTTAGACAACAAACACAGTATGACTTTTGAAAAGTTTTTGCATTCTCACACCCTCTGTTTATGCGCCATTGAAGCGCCTGACCCATCTCCTTCAGAGGTGACAGGGCCCGAACTAACTGATAAACTTAATGGTTCCTTTATCCGGACATCTTGTGATCTGAGCTCCAGGTTATCCGGATTAACAAGGGGTCGTTGTAAACTCATGTATTTGTTGCTAATAAAAGCAGAATATATTTTTGTACCGAGTACGAAGACCAGTTTGTACCCTGTCATCACAACAATGAAAGTACAGAACTATATCCTTGCGCATGGCAAACTAGTCCTTATGTGTATCCATACGCATATATCTGTCATATGAACAAAAATCCTGACAAAAAAGTGTTGGGACAAAATAAAAATGACATACATCGCATACTTATAACGATTGTAATCCTGGTGACATAGAAAAGATCAAGAAGAGCGATTTTAGCAATACAGAGGGGGACACCAGAAATGGGCTTCGCACATTGTACCCATGTGGGGAATCGAAACCGGGTGTTCGGACGCTTAAACCACTAGGCTACCCCGACGCCCAAATCTAGAAGAGGAATGAACTCGATGCTTCCCCTCTAAAAATGACAGTGTTTCTTATTGAATGATGCTATCAATTACAATATTTCTTTAATCGTACTTCATATATACACTGGGGCGGTCGGATAGCCTAGTGGTTAAAGCGTTCGCTAGTCACGCCGAAGACCCGGGTTCGATTCCCAACACGGGTACAATGTGTGAAGCCCATTTCTGGTGTCCCCCGCTGTGATACTGCTGGAATATTGCAAAAAAGGGGCGTAAAACCTTACTCACTCACTCATATATAGACTACCTCCTTGGTAATCGCTAACCCGTCCCCCGCCTCTACAGCCTCCCTACCCCTCCCCATATTCAGTCAGAGGGTTTATCGATGTGAGGCCATCACACCGGGGTGTTAAACCCAGAGATAGTTGCCGCGTTCCCAATAAACAGTGTGTGTATTAACACCAGATACAGTGGGTCATCACGCACATCCTTGACGACTGTTTGAGACAGCTGGGTACACCGAGTGCCATGTTGGGACACATCTTCCACAGCATACCGCCAGTAGATAACAGTGTCGGCAAAACATGCACAAATGTTGAGATTACAGAAAGCACCATCAGTATGTCAAAGTTTCTCTGAAGCAAATTTTGCATTTAAAGGTTAAATGTGTGATTGGCTTGTAATTGAACGCATGACTTAAACATGACTTGAACTTTGAAAACTAGATTACTAAAAAATAGATTAGAAAATTCAAATTCACTTTCTTCTGATGTACGAAAGTCGAAAATAAGTCTCTCAATGTTAATAAAGTTTTCAATTCTGAATTATTATTTTTTAATTCTTTCCAGTGCTCACTGATATTACATCATCTGGCATCCATCAACCATCCACCGTAAACAATAAACAATGTAACAGACAACAAACATTCTGTAGGCTTATACATCTCAACCCTTCTCCTCGGGGCACAACATCTACAACCTGAATAACGCTCAACGTCACCCCCACGACGCAACAGCCAAGACGACGGAATTGCATACACTTTGAAATACGTACAATTGGCATTGCTGGACCTCCTAGCGCCTCCGTGGTGTATTGGATAGAGCGTCTACCAGGAGGACTGCGGTTTTATCCCCTGGCCGCGTCACACCGAGACACGTTAAAAGATGGTACTTGTTATTACCCTGCCTTACGCTTGGCCAGACACCATATACCGAGGGACGGGCTTCGGGGCTAGTTGGAGACCGATCACTGCTGCGCGAGACCAAGCGACACTTTCACGCGAGAATATGGTACATGGTATATGGCTGAGTGTCGGCTTCAAGGGAATAAAACGAAGACTGGTCGGCTCAGAGTCAGTATACTGTGACTGAGTGGGGTATTGATGTTAAACTGTGGCATGGTATCTCAGTGGGCTAGCACTATAAAACCTGCATAAGGTCGGATTCTAAAGCTCCTTCCTAGCGCGTGACACCTTCGGTACACTCTCGGTAACATCGCTGTTACCAGTGTGGGAGCGGCCATTTACAAGAATCTTGAAATTTGCCCTCTAACCCCAAATGTAGTAACGTTTACACTTTTGTTTATGTCTTTTGGAATTCCATCATAGTTAATTTTGAAAAGGTTTACGACTGACCATATTTCCCAAATGAAATGAACTTTTTGTTTGTTTGATCAGATTGGTTCGAGATTGCAGACGAACGGAGAATCAACTTTCCCCTTACATTCTTACTATACTAATAACATGATAGTTTAAATGAAATACAAATATATTTAACTTGAAAAACAAAGAAAATAATTTGGCTGGGATAAGAGTATTCGGCGTCATGGCAGTCATCACTTGTTTGTAAACATAACGGTCAGTCGGTTGCGAGTTCAACTCC